ATTCACCACGTTAGCTACCCCCCCCCCTTTTCTATTTGCCACCGAGCTAACTTTATGTAGCTACATGTGTAGTAGCACTCGGCGTTTTTGCAAATTTGACGTGTTAAAGTGCTCACACTAACGTTTGTCTATGTATTTATTGTTTCTGTTTCACTATTATGTGTGTTTGACAGTTTGCCTGCTGCGCTACATGCTATTTTTTGTCCCCAGCAGGCTAATTAGCATCAGAATAACGCCAGAAACATGTGGACTTTACTTTCTATGAAGGCTTAAAATGTCCCCAAAGTACTTTTACTCAACACTGTGGCAACTTTAAATGTGTTTTAAACTCTATTTTAAAGAAGTATTTTGATGTAGCTTGGTGAGTTTTCCCCCCTTTTTACTGTGAGCTCTCATTTAAGTATGAAATTACCCTTTTTAAGTGCTTTAAAAAGGTAATTTAAGGACTTTTAAAGCAGCTTTGTGAGCCTTGCAGTACTCCTGTGTGCTGCCAGGTGGATGCAGCATCAGGTGCCGATGAAGTGCCACAAATCTTCCTCACCACAGCTGAAAACTACCAAAATCTTCCTGCAGAATTACTGTGGATGAATTACGGCCTTGTTCTTTTTCACATTAAAGCATATGTGCCTTTTTTTTCTTAAATGTGATTTCCAGAAAGGAGAAGATGAGTTCGGCAAAGTCGACGCCATCGTGGTGTCTGTGGGGGTGGACGAGGAAATTGTGTACGCCAAATCCACGGCCATACAGGTGAGACGCCCCAGCACAGGCGAGATGAAGGCATTTTCCCGCAGTCCATTCATGGTTTTATCCACACATACGAGCTTCATAACTACATTATTATCTAAACTAAACCCGTGTGGGAACTTATTTGTCCTGTTTCTCTGAAATTTGCTGGAGCACAATGGAGCAGAGTGTTCAAATAACGTCTTTTAAACATCGTTAAAGCGTCAACTGAGAGGTGGAGACGTGTTAATGTTCCTCCACGTGTCTTTAACTTTACCGTTTGACCATAAATGAATGTTGAGTTGCGCTCCAGCTAAAACTAAATGGGACTACACATGCATGTTAAGGGATATACAGACTGTGCATCTGTTTTCTACATATTTTTCGATTGAATTCACCCTTTTTTTCTCCTTTATTTTCCCGCTCAGACGTGGCTCTTTGGCTACGAGTTGACGGACACCATCATGGTGTTCTGCGAGACCAAAATCATCTTCCTCGCCAGCAAGAAGAAGGTGGATTTCCTCAAACAGGTGGCTATAACGAAAGGCAACGAGAACGCCAACGGTGTCCCGCCCATCACCCTGCTCACCAGAGAAAAGGTGTGTAAAGACCTGTGTTTAGTTTAATTATCTGCACGTGATTTAAAGATGTGTGTGTGTGTGTGTGTGTGTGTGATTTGTGTTTATGAATATCTTTCTGGTCTGAAAGAGGAATCTGTTCCCCTCATAAGGTTGAGAAATAATATTCGATGCTTCCTCTTCTGTGGTTAATTCAGGCGATTTTCACACACATGCATCAGGTTCAATAACTTTGTCAAACTTTCTCGTTTATAACTGTAATTTTTGTGAATGTGCTCACATTTTGTTGAAAGTTGACTCTCGTAAAAGCACTTTTTCTTCTTTTCATGCCTCTCAAATCACCAAGACAAATAACTGTGATCACTTCTAGTAAAATTAGTGTTTCCCGCCGCAGCGAAAGCTTTGCCATCACAGTTTCTAAAGACTGACAAAAGAAAAGGAGTCAGCACAGCTTTAAAACGAAGTGTGGAGATGGTTTTGGCTATAAAGTAAAGAATCCAGTCTGTATGTCGTTAACTGATAAACCAGAGAAATTGTGGAGAAACTTTGGACTTTTGTATCAGATCTCTCGTCCACGTGAGTACAGTCTCTCACTCTCTCTCACCGCAGTAACCTACAGTACATTTAAACATTATTAAATGAATACTCTGCCAAGCGTCTATTTCCAGATCTGTTTTATATGAAAGAGCTGTAACCAAATCACGCATCTTTATTGTACAAATTGCCCACGTGTCAATGTACAGTGGCATTAATATCTATTATTAACTCTCTTTCCTGACCCTCAATGTCTTGTTCTTGATTAAATGAGACATAAATAAATATGGTGTATATATAATAAATGTTCAAAAAAAAATAAATATTAAGATTATTATTTTGGTTTATGTATATAGGTACAACTAGCAATTTATAAAAAAGCATGTGGTTTTAAACAAACATTTGTTGCCATTTGTGTCTCTCAGAACGAAAGCAACAAGGCCAACTTTGACAAGATGATCGAGGCGATCAGAGGCAGCAAAGAGGGCAAGACGGTGGGAATCTTCAGCAAGGACAAATTCCCCGGAGAGTACATGAAGAGCTGGAACGACACGATCACCGCCGAGGGGCTGGAGAAGGTGAGACGCCGTCGGGAATTTCTGTTGGAGCATTTTTTAGATCTGTAAGCTGGAATGAAGAGTCGCTGTCTCTGTTTTCAACACCTGTCTTTCCTCCGTTGCGTCCTGCCTGCAGGTGGACATCAGTGCCGTGGTCGCGTACACGATGGCGGTGAAGGAAGACGGAGAGCTTGGCCTGATGAAGAAAGCAGCGGCCATCACCAGCGAGGTTTACTCAAAGTTCTTCAAGGAGCGCGTGATGGAGATCGTTGACGCAGACGAGGTGAGGAACAGGGGATTCAGATTAAATTCTCCGATCACTCTTAAGCTGCGTTTACGTCATAACTTTCAGACGTAAGTTGGCAAACACCTGACATGAATTTGTAACCGCAGCAAGATCTCCCACTAGGTTAAAAAACAAAAAACATTACTGCAAATCCTCCATCGCTCGCAGTTGCATCCAAATTCAGAGAAAGTCACTGAGGATGGACAACAATGCAAATCTAATTTAGGCTATTTAAAGGTCCACTGTGTCCTTTATAGGAGGATCTGTTGGCAGCAATGGATTCATTGGTTTGTTTTATTAACGCCTGTAAATAAGAGTTGCTGTGTTTTCGTTACCTTGGGATGAGCCGATTCCCTCACTTCATCCTCCCGTTCATTCAAAGCGTGAAGGAGAAACTACGGAGGTCGTGAAACGCACCGAAAACACGAAAGTTGGAAAGGGAAGGACGAAATTAGGGAATCTGCAACTAAATCCTACACACTGGTCCTTAAATTCAACTGGTTTTAAACATCCCTTACTTAGTTCAAATAGTTTTTATATTCTTTTTTAGGTTTTCCTTTTTTTTCTTTTTCAAGGTTAGTGACCAGTGCTGAACTGAATTTCTTTTTCTACCCAACAGAAAGTGCGTCACAGCAAGCTGGCAGAGTCCGTGGAGAAGGCCATCGAGGAGAAGAAGTACCTGGGCGGTGCAGATCCCTCCACAGTGGAGATGTGTTATCCTCCTATCATCCAGAGTGGAGGGAACTACAGCCTCAAGTTCAGCGTCGTCAGGTACCGCGTCTCACGTTTTTTTTAGTGGTGTTCAGTTGGTTACAATCTGCAACTTCACCGCACGATGCCACTAAATCCGACACTGGTCCTTTTTCATTTTCCTGAATAATTGTTTGGTCTATTAAATGTCATAAAATAGTGAAAAAAACAACCCGTCTGTCTCCTAAAGACATCTTCAAATCTTCAAATTGCTTGTTTTGTCCAAGCAGCAGTTCAAAACCCAAACGTATTCATATTATGTTCGACAAAACGGGGGGCAAATGTATCTTTTTAAAAGACTCCCTTATCGGTAAGTGAATAAAATCTTAAAGCTTGTTGCAAGATTTTCTGAAAAAAAAAAATAAATCCAAGATCGAATGTTTTGTCAAAAAATTGCAGTTGCTGTTAAAGGAAT